TTTTTTAAAAAGATCTTATTTTCAATTGTGTGTGTGTACACATGCATGCATGTGCGCACATGAGTGTCCACAGAGGCCAGAAGAGGACATCAGAGTTCCTAGATCAGGAGTTACAGGCATTTGTAAGCTTCCTGATATGAGTGCTGGGAATTGAACTTGGATCCTCTGCAAGAGCCATAAGTGCTCTTAACTGTTAAGCCATCTCTGCAGCCTCTGTAACCTCGTTTTAAACCCCACTTGGAGTTCATCTTTCTTCCCACTCTCCCCAACTACATTTGAGCTGCAGTTGAGGGTGAGGTGGTCATTTACTTAAGCTTTCCTGTGTTCATAAATGCAGATGTCCATACCCCGTAGAATGAGTTTGTTCAAGTCCACTGTGAATTCTGAAGATGAATTTCTAAACATTGAGAAGCCTACATTGTACACTGTCCCAAGACTGATGTGGCTGGTTGATACAGTGGGCTTTTTCTAGAGGACAGTCTTCAGGCAGAACCACCCCTGTCCCTCCACCATGAAAGTATTTGATGAAATTATCATGGGTTTTATCATGGTGTCTTCTGAAGAGGAAGTGATGACAGTATGTGGTCTTTTGTTTTTGGTGCTTGAAGATTGATGTGTTTGCAGCTCTATCAGAGTAAGGAAGTGAGTGGTCCCTAAAAAGGCCCACCTACTTTTCTTCACCCCTACCTTCACCCAGTTGTCCCTTTGGGAGAGACTAGTTGTCCAGATGAGAGAGTAGTACACAACTGTAATCCCGGTATTTGGGAGGCTGAGGCAAAAGGATCTCAGGTTCAGTGGCAGCCTAAGATACATAGTAAGACATTCAAGACACGGTAAGGTACAACTTGGGACAGTGCTGTCAAAAAATAAATATATAAAGTATATATACATATATACATACATACATACAGACAGACAGACAGACATATGTGGGATTAGAACCAGGAGATCATAGTAGTTCTGTAAATCTGATCACATATTGCCCAGAGATTGGACTAGATAGCATCTTAACTTTCTTTGTGTTCTCAGTTCTAAACGTGGACCTAGGCTAAAAGTTTCCAGACAATGAGCATATCTCCTACAGTCCCGGGCATTCTTGAACAAAGATGTCCCCTCTCTCTGCAGGTGTTCTGGCCATCCTCATCCCACGCCTGGACCTAGTCATCTCCCTGGTGGGATCCGTGAGCAGCAGCGCCCTGGCCCTCATCATCCCGCCCCTGCTAGAGGTGACCACCTACTATGGAGAGGGCATAAGCCCCCTGACCGTCATCAAGGACGCCCTCATCAGCATCCTGGGTTTCGTGGGCTTCGTGGTGGGGACCTACGAGTCTCTGAGTGAGCTGATCCAGCCAAGCCATAGCGACTCCTCTACCAGTTCCACCAGTGCCTTCATATAAGGATCTGGGTGTGCTCCCTCCACCTGCCCAGCCCCACCCTGTGTGTGTTTCCCAGTAGTGTCCCCACATCCTCAGGTATGGTTCAGCCTCTGGAAAAAGGCAGGGTTGCTGCCTGGGCACTCCTCTATCTGGCATTGGACCCTTGGGTAACCTGGGCTAGATGAGACTGAGACTGGGGGGAAGGGCTGGAAGCAGACTCTCCACTTGTGATGGTGCATCACTGCTCTCCTTTATCATGCCTCCTCTCTCAGCACTGCCCCTCCCCCCCGCTGCTCCCCCCTCCCCCCATCTGACCTGCCACGCCTAAATTATTCCCATTGCACAGCTCACTTTATTTAAAAGGTAGTCTCCTGCTCCCGATGATTTCTCCTTTCCAGGGCCAGGCCTAGATTAAATAAGTGGGGATTCTCATGTTTTACAAAGCCAGGCCTCTTTCTCATCGGGCTCCCAAATACTGTACCTCACTGTTTCACCCAGCTGAGTCCTGAGAGGGTTCTGGCCACCCCCACCCCCAATAGTTGACAGCCAGCCCTGAATGCTGAAGGTTTCCATCTACTGTCTGGCTTGGGGAACCCACAGGCCACATCACTTCTTTTCTCATTTCCTCTGTGTAGGTCACAGTACTGCCCCTTGATTCCTTTATCAAGGATGCTGCCCAGACTGGAGGTATTTATAGTGTATTTAAGCTTAGGTTTCGGACTCTGACTTCAGACCTGGCATCACGGTGGATTACTTCTCCTTCAGCAACTTGCACTTGGCTTCTCCTGCCACAGAGAGACTGCTCCAGGGGACCATGGATATGCCCTCTGCCCTCTTGGCTGAGTGGCCTAGAGGCCATTTTGTTGTTAGTTAGTTTTGTTTTGTTTAGTTTTTGTGTTTCAAGACAGGGTCTCATGTCACCAAAGTTGGCTTTGAACTTGGTTGCTGTGTATTCAAGGATGATGAACTCTCGGTCCTGTCTCTGCCTCAAGTACTGCGATTACTAGCATGAGCTGCCATACCCAGCCGGCTCAGAGATCTCAAGCAGATCATGTGAGCATGCACCACCTCTGGAAGACGCGTGCGTGTGTGGACTTCCATTCATGAGATGGACTCCATGTGGGCATTGGGAAGTACTAAGGGCAGGATGAGGTTCCTCTTCATAGACACTAGGCACAAGGGTCATTGTTTACAGTTCCTGGGGAGAGAGTAGAAGCCCTACTTTGCCCCAAACTGCCTCTGTATCCTGGGCTTCCAAGGAACCACTAAACACTAACTATGACCATACTTGTCCCCTCTTATGCCTCCCACAGTCACCTGGCTTCTAGCCCCGTCACCTTAAGCTGTGCCTTTAGAGTCCTCTGAGAGAGTCTGTGGCTTACCACTGCTACCCTGTTGATGTCAAGATGTCCAAAGGACAGTTGTTAGCTCCCCATCTCTGAGTTGTGTGTGTGTGAGATTCTGCACACGTGTGCGTGTTCACATATGCAAACGACAGAGCAGTTTGTGTCTCCTCCACTCTGGTTACCAGGCTCTTAACCTGGAGGTAGGATTTGCCTTGAACCTTGAGTTCGAGAAAGAAGCAAGAATTTATCAGGGTCTTGCTTTCGTGTTTGACAGAAGCTAGTAGCCCAATCTTGCAGCCAAGCCCTTTCCTGCTGTTCTGTCCAGAGCCTGCTGAGTGACTTCCAGGTCACAGGATGGGAAGGATGGTCTCTGGCTACAGCAGCAGCTGTTTGCTAGGAAGAGGTGTTGTTAACTTGGCCCCGCGGAGAGCAATGCTTTTTTTTTTTTTCTTTTCTGGCGTCAGAATCCCTACAGGTGCTTATGTGGCCTGGTGCCAGCTGGGATTCACAGATGCCTTGCTTTCTGAAGTCTCAGGCTGGAAAGTGACCAAAGTAGGTTCAGACACTGGCCAGCAACCCAACTGTGGGCTAGGCTCTCTCCTAGAAGCCACCTGAGCTTGACTTCCTGGGTGGGGGGGACTGTTCTCAGAACTGTTAGAGGCACTCCTACCCAGGTCTAGACCCATTGTCCAAGGCCAGCTATCTCTTTAGGGCCCCTGGCCTGACACCATGTGGAGTGCCTTCTGTAGCATTTGACTGATGGCAGCTTCCTTGATACCTTGGTAGGGCCTACATCTTTTGATATCTTGCTGTGCTCCTGAGGCATTGCCAGTTTGGTGACTTGACTCTTTGAGCAAGATCAGGGCCTTCCTTGATGGACACCAGGAAGCTGCTAAGCTCGTGTCACCAGGCGCTGCACACAGCCCAAGCGCACTTAGGAGCCCTGAGTCAGAACCCTCCTGGCCCCTCCCACTGTCAGTTTGGAGCCAGATGGCCTCTGGTGAGAAAACACAGATAAATGGGAGCTTGGACAGAACAATATAGGCAAGGCTTATGGAGACTAAGCCTGAATCCAGATGCCCCAGGGGCAGACATGCTCAGTCCTTGCCAGCCCAGTCCTTGTCTGTACCCGAAGTTTATCTCCAGAGATCTGTTATCCCAGACTAAAAAGCACTTGCTGGGAAGCGTGTGATCCAGCCTGAGCTACCCACTGTGCTCTCAGCTGTGGCATCACGTGTGCTGCTGTCTGGGTCAGGAGAGGTAGAGGTTAGCTTAGGCCTGCCCGCCTCACCTCTCTAGCCACACCTCCCGGCAGGTGCTCCTTGTCCGCTCTCCCTGCTGGAAGTCTTGGGTTAAGTGTCATCAGTGATCTGAAGGTAGATCCCAGAGCCTGTCCTTAGCCCCTCTCATCCTCAGACTTCTCCCTCCCTTCAGTGTCTGCTCTTTGGACACCATTGTTTCACCTGATCCTTCCAGAAGTGCAGAGCTCAGATCATGTTTACAGCATTCTCTAGTCCCTTCACACGCCTGCTGAGGGCTCTGGACATGGGATTGCTTTCCCTACTGGCCAGCCCCAGCCACCACTCCCACTGGGACACAGGCTTTCTGGGGCCTGATATGGGAACCAGACAGAGTGGTAGGATGTGGCAATCAGGAGGGTGGTGCCAGGTTGGCTTGAGAATTTAATTTTCCAAAGTACATTACAAATCAGATACCATTAAGGGAAAGCAGGCCATGTGGCTCATTTTTTGAAACTGTGGTCAATACTTGAAGGCTCTTTAGTCCTGCTGGCCGTGCCAGCTTCCGTCTGGCCGGTGTTTTTCTGTGTATCCCGAGTCATTCCCTGGTCAGAGACATTAAACCGTCTCATAGGTAGTTATCAGAAAAAAGAAGCGGAAAATGAGGCTGGAGGGAACCTGGCGTTTGTCCTGCTCTTTGGTTTAAATCAAGCTGATTTGAAGAAACTGGATTTTTTAATGAATAATAAAATCCCATGTCTATATCATAAAACTGTCAGTAGATGTTTGAATCAAGGATTGAGAGTGCTGCCATTCAGAGAGTCTGAACAGTCAGACAGCACTGTGAGCTGTGTGCCTACTCGGTCGTGCATTACGTACACATGTGGGTCATGTCAGACAGCGCTGTGAGCTGTGTGCCTACAGTCATGCATTACGTACACATGTGGGTCTTGTCAGAGCTTCTAGGTCTCATTGGGTTGCACATATGGATCTTGTGTTAAATTTCCACTTCAATAAATGAATTTTATTTTTTATTTTGAGAGGTTGCAAACTGTGTCCTTGTTTTCACACTTTGGGAAAAAAAAGTCACTCAGGTTAGGACCATCTGATGAAGGGACAGGGGAAACAATCCTGCCTCCCTAAACCACTTCGATATTCTCCTGAAATCCTAGGTAGGCAGTTTCGATGCCTTCTGCTTATACCAGTGGGTAGTTATAGGTGTCAACTTGGTTTTTCATTCAAATATGGGTCTAGGTGTTTGCAAATGTTAACATCTATAGCAGTTGACTAAGTAAAGAAAAGATTATCCTTGCTAGTGTGAGTGGCTTCCTCTCATCCGAAAGTTCTTAAACTGTGGCCTCCCTGAGGATAAATCCTGTCTCTAGACCACAGCAACAGCTTCTGGGCTTCCACACTTGACCGACCGGAGACCAGCCCTAGGAGTTTTACACCTGTCAGCCACACTAACTGAGGTGGCTAACAATTCACCATGCAGAATAAATAATTAGGTCACAATTGCATATGTGGCTCACCACTCCTGTTCCTGGTCTGGTGCATGACTGTGTGTGCACACATAGACCGAGTCATCCTAAGGTCCCAAAGGAAGACTCTGTCAGTCTTTACAGGCCGCCAGCTGTAACACTGCAGGGTTTGGTCCCAGTATTCAAGTGTTTCTCAAGGTACCTGCCTCTTCTTTTTGCTTACATCCTCAGCGGGGAGTGTCAGAGGATGCAGGGCTTAGAAAACTGAAGGGAGTCAAAGTACTTATTTACAGGGTCATCTGTGCCAAGGCTTCATTCATGTGTAATGGCTATAATCTGCATCCCCAGATCTCCTGGTCCCTCAAGGTAAGCCCTGCTCTGCTGGAGACATACGTATGATCAACAGCAGGCTGACTCTCTCCTAGGCAGGCAGCTTCTTCATTTCTGCCCTTTGTAGATGTGCTTAGAGACTGTGAACCTTGAATGTGTATTTGTCCTAGGCCAGCGGTTCTCAATCTGTGGGTTACTTTTCCTTACTGGGGTGGGTGGTGGGTGGTGTTGAATGACCCTTTCACGTGAGTCCCCCTGAGACCAATGGAAAACACACACATTTACATCATGATCCATAATAGTACCAAAAATACAGTTATGAAGTAGCAACAAAGATAATTTTATGGTTGGGGGGGGTCACCACAACATGAAGAACTGTATAAAAGGATCACAGTATTAGGAAGGTTGGGAACCACTGTCCTAGACCATGGTCTCCCTCATCTTTTTAAATAAATTGGATTCTCATCAATACATAGCAAAATATGCCTGTTTTTCAATGTACAACTTGGTGAGACCATCTCAGTAAAAATGTAGAAGGTTGCCTTCACCTAAAATATTTATATTTGATGTACGTGTGGTGTATGCATATATATGTGTGCAAGTGTGCACACCTGGATGTTGGGTATTCTGCTTACTCCCTGGAGACAAGATTTCTCATTGAACCTGGAGCTAGACTGGCTGCTAGCCAAACCCAGAGATCCTCCTGTCTCTGCCCCTAAGATATGGGTTATAAGCATGTATGTCGATATGTTAGGTTTTTATGTAGGTTCTGGGGATCTGAACTCAGGTTTTCATGCTTGTGTAGAAAACATTCTTACCCACTGAGCCATCTCCCCAGGTCCTCCCTATAGCCTTTGGTAATCTCCCTCTTCCCCATACCATGCTGCCCTTGACCCTGGAACAAAGGTGTGTGGATGTGGGAACTACCCAGAGGCGGCCTTTTCAATGGTAACAGTAGAATCATGTGTTGAGACTTTATGTCAATGACAATCAACAGTTTCCTATATAGCATCTTATTTAATACTCTGAGCCAGGGAAAGAAACTTCTGGCAATATCTCCTTTGCAAACAGAGACATTGGCGGGGGGAGGGGGCAGGGGGGAGGTTAAAAACATATCTGAGATTAACATTTTCTAACTAGCCAGGTCTTGCCTCCTGTCTTTGCCACTGAGACCCATGGCTCCCACCTCCCACCACTCTCACCATATCTCATCTGCTTCACCTCCTTCAGTGGGCACAGAGAAGCCTCCCACCCCCAGACATGCTGGGTACCTAGGCCACCCACATTGCTCTGATCCCAGCCTTCATTAGTCCTCGACTGCCGTCTGTGAGAGGGAACCCGCTGCCCACATTCTCAGTCGCGGTGCCCCGAGTCTTCACATCATTACTTGTGCCTGACCTAGCTGGCTGCCCTTGTCTATGCTCAGCCTGGGACTCAAACTTTTTTGTTGTTGTTTTGTTTCTTTGAGACCAGGTTTCTTTGTGAAGCACTGACTGTCCTGGAACTCTCTTTGTAGATCTGGCTGGCCTCAAACTCAGAGAGATTCACCTGCCTCTGCTTCCCAAGTGGGGATTCAACTTGTCTCTGGAATCTTCCCTGGCTAATTTGGTGGGAATTTATGGCTCCTCTTTCAGCTACATGTTGTTTTCTGATTAGCTTTATGCCTCGCTGTGCTAGGGAGATGTGGGTCTATCAGCCCTCTGTGGTCTATAGGTACCTCCGCTGCAGATTCAACCAACTGAACATAGGAAGAAACATTGCACTTAGTATGAAATATGGATGGGCTTTGTGGTTCTCTCACCTCTCATCCACACGATCTCAGGTGTGAGAAATAATCTAGAGAGGACAGGCAGTATGTAGGAATACCTGTTTAGGTCACAGGTAAATATTACATGTTTATACAAGGGATTGAAGCGTCCACAGAGCCTGGTAACCTTGGCAGGCCCAGGAACCAGTGGTGTGGATGATGAGAGTCTCTGTATTCGGTCCCTTGTCTCGATGCTAAACTCCTGAGGGCATTGGTTAAGTGAGTGTCTCTCCCCTCAGTGTCTGCCCTGGGGGTAAGCCTGTCCCTGAGGACTCAGTGTCACCTAGATCGAGTGGTATTCTGCACAGTCAGTTGACTTCCTAATGTTTTTAGCTTCACGTTAATCTCACCAAGCGGTTTTCTTGGTGGGACCTTGGAGGCTTATCAGAGAATCTGGGAAAATTCTAGACTGTCTTTGACAAGTCAGAGGGCACTCATGCATTTCAGGAGGCAGCCCAGGCTGTCAATCAGCATGGGATCAGTGCCCTAACACAGTGGCAGCTCACTAATTCACCATGTTCTACAGTGACAGTGACTCCCTTTCCCCTGAAGCAGCTGTAGGCCCTGGGCAAGTCACTCCCCATCCTAGAACGTCATGTCTTGTCTTCCTTTCCAGTCAGATCTTTGAGTCTCTCCCTTATCTTCAGCTCAAAATGGCTTAGACTTCTCCGGCTGAGTCCCTCTATCATAATTCTAGAAACTTCGTAAGGCTTCTGGTCATAGCATCCAGCCTCTGCCAAGATCTCCCATGTCTTTGTATTTCCTGTGAATACATTCACTCTTTCCTGAAGGCCTTGATAGCCCTGGGACTGACTCTGTGGGCGCCCCTGGCAACACACACATAGACACACACACCAGCAGCACCACACAGGAGTCTTCTGTTGCTTGTCGAGCTGTGTCTCTATCTTCCCCTCAGCAGGCATTGCCCCCTGCTTGCCTCCTGCAGCCCCTCAGCCGACATGCTGGGGGGGTCCTTGCTCTGTTCCCTTCCTTCAGACTCTCTGCTCGCTGTGTTCCAGATTGCTGAATCACTCTTAATGTCCTCAAGGCCAGATGTAGGGATACAGGAGAGGCCTGGACCAGAGCCTCAAGACTGAGCAGATTGCCTCTCCTGGCTCTTGGTACCACTTAGCATTAGAGTTCTGGGCTGCCCCATGGGTCACACTCGCTGCTGCTGTGTGTGGACTATCTAGGGTCCTGTATTTGAGATGGCTTCACAAACTCACATGCAGAGTAGACTTGGGTTCAAACCTTCATCACTCCTGAACTCAGTCACCTTGTGCATTTAAATTACTGACATAATACAAGCTATTTTAGTTTCTCTGTGCTTCACCTCCTCCCCATAAATGGAGATAACAGAACCTATGTCAGGAGGGTTTCAGGAAGGTTAGATGACTTGGGACAATAGTCATGCCAGGTGACTGACTTCCAGCAAGTGATCAGCAAGTAAGCTGTAGAATGGTGGCTACTGGCAGTGAGCTCTGTTACGCTACTGTTAGGACATCTGCTGGGCCAGATTCAGACTGAGCTAGAGCCCAGGTGGTATGAGGAGAGGACTGGTTCTTAAGCTCAGAGAGCCCTCTGGTGGTCAATCTGGGGAAGTGCGCAAAGGAAGGCAGCTGGGTGTTTGGTCTGGGAAGCGCCCTCTGAGAGTGAGTGTTTCTCTGAGGACCTTGTGACATGACTAATTGGGTGTTCTCAAAACACAATTCTTTTGATCTGAACAGGGATTTCACTTGTGTGAGAAGAAAGTGACTAGCAGCCTAGATGTAGCTCAGCTGATGGACAGTCCCAGCACGGCATACACGGAATATGGCGGTCAAAGGATGAGCAATCCAAACTCACTTTCAGCTATGCAGTAAGCTCAAGGGCAGCCTGGGCTGCATGAAGCCCTGTCTAAAGAAAATTAACTCGTGATGTCCTCATTGCTAGGAGCTAGCTGTCATTGCCGTTTACAGTGCTTAACCTTCACTGTCAATCTGAATAGATTTGGAAATACTCAGGACACACACTTCTGGACATGTCTTGGAACTCTTCAAAGAGGCTTAACCGAATCAATCTTTGAATTGATTGCAGGTCCCACTGAGTTGACAGTATTATCCATCACAGTAAGCAGTGTGATATTATTTACTAAATGTGTCTACTGGAAAAAAAAAAAGAATTCCAGAGGGACTCTGGTAAAGAAGCATAGGGCATCATAGGAAGAGAGTCTTTCCAACAAGTGATGCCGAAGACTGAGTGTCCTCATCTAAAAAGCCAAGTGAGACCAAGGCCCATCAGTAAAACATAAAACTATAAAAGATATCACAAAACCCCAGAAGCCATCCTATAAGAAAATACAGGCCATCTTTAGTATAACAGTTACTTTTAAAAATGAATCACCCGGGAGACACCTGGTCAGGATTTTGAGGGAGTTTCTAAA